GACAGCAAACAAGTCACCGAATACCAGTAGTCACGCAAACAACCAGACAACTCACAGCGCTACAAAATGGGGCGTTAAAACATGGAATGAGTGGAAAGAGCAAAGCAGATGACTGATCTCGCTGGGATAAAAGGTTATCATACTGGGCATTCAGGAAAGGTACGTATTTGAATTTGCACTTTAGTAATGCAATGTTCGATTCCCTCGCTCACGATAAATAGTCATAACTTTATGTAGAAAATAATCACTACTCGTTAACTCCATTTTTTCATGCAAACTGTTTGGTGGAATACCATTTAAATATTATATTCACTGGCACGATATGTCGGATTCATTTCACGCGATAAAGATTTAATGCAAACGGCTTTGGCGTGTTTTAAAAAAGCTGAACGATTGAAAGTACTATAACAATATATTGATATTTTACATTGCTATGAGGTGGACTGTTACAAGCTATTGTACTTTCATATTGATACATTGTATTTTATTTTAAACAGGTTACACAGGCAACCACGCTGTTCCGGCAAAATTTCGACGAGCAGCTAATAGCAGAAAGAACGGGTCACTCCAGTCTAGCAATTAGAAGCTACAAGCGGACGAGCGACGAGCAGACGAAAGCGGTGTCAGACGCACTGCAGCCACCCAAACCGAAAACTGCGAAAGAAGCGAAAACGCATGACATATCCACCACCCCAACAGACGAGGACAAATCTAATACCACTGTCATAACCGATTCTTCCCAAGTGTCCGTGAATTTTGTAAAAGGAAATATAAAACTTGAAATACGTTTTTAAAATGTATCGTATAATCGTCATTGCGTATTTAAATAATTAAATGAAAATTCCACCTTGTTCTTTGTTTTCATTCAGTGGCCACCTGTTATGTTAATCAGCTTTTCACTCCTGTTGTGCTCATGAATATTTAAATTAACCCATTCATTATTAACAGTCCCGGCTTGTTAATCTATTGATCAAAACAGTACCATTAACAAGAATGCATAATTAATTAGGTTGAAACTGTCCGCTAACGAAAGTAAGAAACATACTTAGAACAATGGAGACGAGACAAAAAGTAGTATAACAATAATTAGTGATGAAGTTTGGTGACGAGGACTGGATTTTACTTCGGTCATACCTCGATGGTACGAGTTACTGCATTAAGTCAACTGCACGTATGCAGGTGAATGCTTCTAAATCCAAAATTATGAGATTTTGTAACACGATCAACCCTGATTGCCTTCATATATGTCATGATGTGTTTTTCCAACAATTGTTAGCGAGATTAAATATCTAGGCGTTATTCTAAATAGCCGCCTTACATATAATTGATACAGCTGTGATAGAACGTTGCGTC